TTGAAGACAGTGAAGGGGTCTTGAAGACAGTCAAGTGGTCTTAAAGACAGGGATTTTGAAGATAGCGGTCTTGAACACAGGGGTATTGAAGACAGTCAGGGGTCTTGAAAACACTCAAGGGTCTTGAAGATAGGGGTCTTGAAGACAGTCAGGGGTCTTAAAGACAGAGTTCTTGAAGACAGGGGTCTTGAAGACAGTAAGGGGTCTTGAAGATAGTCAGGGGTCTTGAAGACAGTCAGGGGTCTTGAAGATAGTAAGGAGTCTTGAAGACAGTCAGGGTCTTAAAGACAGAGGTCTTGAAGACAGGGGTCTTGAAGACAGTCAGGGTTCTTGAAGACAGTCAGAGGTCTTGAAGACAGTCAAGGAGTCGTGAAGACAGTCAAGGGTCTTGAAGACTGCTAGGGGTCTATAAGGCAGTCTGGGGTTTTGAAAACAGCCAGGGGTCTTGAAGACAGCCATGGGTCTTGCAGATGGTCAAGGGTCTTGAAGACAGTATTCTTGAAGACAGACAGGGGTCTGCAAGACAATCAGGAGTCTTGAAAACAGTCAGGGGTCTTGAAGACTTTCATGGGCCTTGAAGACATTGAAGGGTCTTGAAGACAGAGTTCTTGAAGATGGTCAGGTCTCTTGAAGACTGTCAGCGACCTTGAAGACAGAGGTCTTGAAGACAGTCAGGGGTCTTGAAGGCAGTAAGGGGCCTTGAAGAGAATCACGGGACTTGAAGACAGTCAAGGGTCTTGAATACAGGAGTCTTGATGACAGGGATCTTCAAGATAGGGGTCTTTAAGATAGTCAGGGGTCTTAAAGATAGGGGTATTGAAGACAGTCAGGGGTCTTGAAGACAATCATGGGTCTTAAAGATAGTCAGGGGTCTTGAAGATAGTCAGGGGTCTTGAAGATTGTCAGGAGCTTTGAAGACAGTCAGGGGTCTTGAAGAATGTAAGGGGTCTTGAAGACAGTCAGGGGTCTTGAAGACAGTCAGAGGTCTTGAATACTGCCAGGGGCGTTGAAGGTAGTCAGGGATCTTAAAGACAGTCAGGGGTTTTGAAGACACTCAGAGGTCATGAAGATAGGGGTCTTAAAGGCAGTCAGGGGTCTTAAAGATAATCAAGGGTCTTGAAGACAGTCAGGGGTCTTTAACACAGTCAGGGGTCTTGAAGATAGTCATGGGTCTTGAAGATAGTCAGGTGTCTTGAAGACTGTCAGGGGTCTTGAAGACAGGGGTCTTGAAGACTGCCAGGGGTCTTTAAGATAGTCAGGGGTCTTGATAGTCAGGGGACCTGAAGACAGTCAGGGGTCTTAAAGACAGTTAGGGGTCTTGAAGACAGAGTACTTTAAGATAGACAGGGGTCTTGAAGATAGTCAAGGGTCTTGAAGATGGCCAAGGGTCTTGAAGATGGCCAGGGGTCGTGAAGACAGGGGTATTGAAGATTTTCAGGGGTCTTGAAGACTGTCAGGGGTCTTGAATATAGAGATCTTGAAGATAGGGGTCTTGAAGACAGTCAGGGGTCTTAAAGACAGGGGTCTTGGAGACAGGGGTCTTGAAGACAGTCATAGGTCTTGAAGATAGTCAAGGGTCTTCAAGACAGTCAGGGGTCTTAAAGATATTCAGGGGTCTTGAAGACAGTCAGAAGTCTTTAAGATAGTCAGGGGTCTTGAAGATAGCCAGGGGTCTTGAAGACAGTCATGGGTCTTGAAGACAGTCATGGGTCTTGAAGGCAGTCATGGGTCTTAAAGACAGTCAATTGTCTTGTAGTCAGGGGTCTTGAAGACAGTCAAGGGTCTTGAAGACAGTCAGGGGTTCTTGAAGATGGCCAGGGGTCTTGAAGAGTCATGGGTCTTGAAGACAGTCATGGGTCTTGAAGACAGTCATGGGTCTTGAAGACAGTCATGGGTCTTGAAGACAGTCAAGGGCCTTGAAGACTGTCACAGGTCTTGAAGATAGCCAAGGGTCTTGAAGACAGTCAGGGTTCTTGAAGACAGTCATGGGTCTTGAAGACAGTCATGGGTCTTGAAGACAGTCAGGGTCTTGAAGACAGTCATGGGTCTTGAAGACAGTCATGGGTCTTGAAGACAGTCATGGGTCTTGAAGACAGTCATGGGTCTTGAAGACAGTCAGGGGTCTTGAAGACAGTCGGCGTCTTGAAGATATTCAGGGGTTTTGAAGACAGTCAGGGGTCTTGAAGACAGTCAGAGGTCTTGAAGATAAGCAGGGGTCTTAAAGATTGTGGTCTTAGACTACAGTCAGGGGTCTTGAAGACAGAGGTCTTGAAGTTAGTCAGGGGTCTTTAACACAGTCAGGGGACTTGAAGACAGGGGTCTTGAAGATAGTCATTGGTCTTGAAGACAGTCAGGGGTCTTGAAAATATTCAGGGGTCTTGAAGACTTTCAGGGGCTTTGAAAACATTCAAGGGACTTGAAGACAGTCAGGGGTCTTGAAGAGTCAGAGGTCTTGAAGATAGTCAGGGGTCTTGAAGATAGAGGTCTTGAAGACAGTCAGGGGTCTTGAAGACTGTCAGGGGCCTTCAAGATATTCAGGGGTCTTGAAGATAGAGGTCTTGAAGACAGTCAGGGGTCTTGAAGACAGCCAGGGGTCTTGAAGACTCAGGGATCTTGAAGACAGTCAGGGGTCTTGAAGACAGCCAGAGGTCTTGAAGATAGTCAGGGGTCTTGAAGATAGCCAAAGGTCGTGAAGATAATCAGGGTCTTGAAACCAGTCAGGGAGCTTTAAGACTGTCAGGGGTCTTGAAGATAGTAAGGGGACTTGAAGACAGTCAGGGGTCTTAAAGACAGTTGTCTTGAAGACAGAGGTCTTGAAGACAGTCAGGGGTTTTGAAGACTCAGGGATCTTGAAGACAGTCAGGGGTCTTGAAGACAGCCAGAGGTCTTGAAGATAGTCAGGGGTCTTGAAGATAGCCAAAGGTCGTGAAGATAATCAGGGTCTTGAAACCAGTCAGGGAACTTTAAGACTGTCAGGGGTCTTGAAGATAGTAAGGGGACTTGAAGATAGTAAGGGGACTTGAAGACAGTCAGGGGTCTTAAAGACAGTTGTCTTGAAGACAGAGGTCTTGAAGACAGTCAGGGGTTTTGAACACAGAGGTCTTGAAGATAGTCAGGGGTCGTTAACACAGTCACGGGTCTTGAAGATAGTGATGGGTCTTGAAGACAGTCAGGGGGGCTTGACAGTCAGTGGTCACGAAGACAGCCAGGGGTCTTGAAGACAGTCAGGGGTCTTGAAGACTCTCAGGGGTCTTGAAAATAGTCAGGGGTCTTGAAAAAAGTCAGGGGTCTTGAAGACAGAGGTCTTAAAGATAGGGTCTTGAAGGCAGTCAGGCATCTTGAATACAATCAGTGGTCTTGAAGACAGTTAGGGGTCTTTTAGATAGTCAGGGTTCTTGAAGACAGGGGTCTTGAAGACAGTCATGGGTCTTGAAGATAGTCAAGGGTCTTGAAGCTAGTCAGGGGTCTTAAAGATATTCAAGGGTCTTGAAGATAGTCAAGGGTCTTGAAGACTGTCACAGGTCTTGAAGATAGCCAAGGGTCTTGAAGACAGTCAGGGTTCTTGAAGACAGTCATGGGTCTTGAAGACAGTCATGGATCTTGAAGACAGTCATGGGTCTTGAAGACAGTCATGGGTCTTGAAGACAGTCAGGGTTCTTGAAGACAGTCATCGGTCTTGAAGACAGTCATGGATCTTGAAGACAGTCATGGGTCTTGAAGACAGTCATGGATCTTGAAGACAGTCATGGGTCTTGAAGACAGTCATGGGTCTTGAAGACAGTCAGGGTTCTTGAAGACAGTCATGGGTCTTGAAGACAGTCAGGGTTCTTGAAGACAGTCATGGGTCTTGAAGACAGTCATGGATCTTGAAGACAGTCATGGGTCTTGAAGACAGTCATGGGTCTTGAAGACAGTCAGGGTTTCTTGAAGACAGTCATGGGTCTTGAAGACAGTCAGGGTTCTTGAAGACAGTCATGGGTCTTGAAGACAGTCATGGATCTTGAAGACAATCATGGATCTTGAAGACAGTCATGGATCTTGAAGACAGTCATTGGTCTTGAAGACAGTCATGGGTCTTGAAGACAGTCAGGGTTCTTGAAGACAGTCATGGGTCTTGAAGACAGTCAGGGTTCTTGAAGACAGTCATGGGTCTTGAAGACAGTCATGGATCTTGAAGACAGTCATGGATCTTGAAGACAGTCATGGGTCTTGAAGACAATCATGGGTCTTGAAGACAGTCAGGGTTCTTGAAGACAGTCATGGGTCTTGAAGACAGTCATGGATCTTGAAGACAGTCATGGGTCTTGAAGACAGTCATGGATCTTGAAGACAGTCATTGGTCTTGAAGACAGTCATGGGTCTTGAAGACAGTCAGGGTTCTTGAAGACAGTCATGGGTCTTGAAGACAGTCAGGGTTCTTGAAGACAGTCATGGGTCTTGAAGACAGTCATGGGTCTTGAAGACAGTCAGGGTTCTTGAAGACAGTCATGGGTCTTGAAGACAGTCATGGATCTTGAAGACAGTCAGGGTTCTTGAAGACAGTCATGGGTCTTGAAGACAGTCAGGGTTCTTGAAGACAGTCATGGGTCTTGAAGACAGTCATGGATCTTGAAGACAGTCATGGGTCTTGAAGACAGTCATGGGTCTTGAAGACAGTCATGGGTCTTGAAGATAGCGGTCTATTGGTAATTCCCCTTATGTATGCTGAGAGGCAGTTGAACAGTCTTGGACCCCTGACATTTATTGTGTTGTCTCATATCGTGCTAGTGCTTAGGGGAAGCGCTAAACCCATAAAGGTCATACAGCACTTGCAAGAATGGGAAACAAACAGATTTCTATCAAGGAAGAAGAGACATTTTTCTGGCATCAAGAATCCATCAGCAGCATCTAGAAGCTTCCTTCTTGTAACTTACCTTCTAAACACTCTACAGTCACCAACATATTATAAAAATAACTTTATTAACGTCTATTTTTCTTTGCACATATTTTATACCACCTACCTTTCGCTTCTGCCACGGATAACACAATAATTATAATGAATAATGCAAGAAGAGCAGGATTGTGCGACTCCTCACGCAGATCTCAGCTCGAAAAGTGCACCTATTGAAATATATAATATTGGCTTCTTGGCCGTTATCATAGGCAATTTATGTCCATTTTATTTTGTAAAATTATTGCATTCATCTAGAAATTGTTTAAATGTACCTAAATAAACTTATTACTTACATCGCTATTAATTCTCCCGCCCAAAACTTGCTGCGTCCCGATACTCTCCTGTGACTTTACTAACTCTCCATGTTCTTTATTTATATAAATTACGGCGTAATAAATAGTAATGTGTAGTTTTACCATTACTTTTTTATTCTTATAAAATTTTATATATTTTTTTCATTAAGTGTACCAAAATCTAATGATAATAATTATTTACAAACTTTAGGTTTAATTCTTTCGGACAAATCATGTTATTGTTTCAACCATCGAACACATCTCGTGTTTCAACCATCGAGCACATCTCGTGTTTCAACCATCGAGCACATCTTGTGTTTCAACCATCGAGCACATCTTGTGTTTCAACCATCGAGCACATCTCGTGTTTCAACCATCGAACACATCTCGTGTTTCAACCATCGAGCACATCTTGTGTTTCAACCATCGAACACATCTCGTGTTTCAACCATCGAACACATCTTGTGTTTCAACCATCGAGCACATCTCGTGTTTCAACCATCGAGCACATCTCGTGTTTCAACCATCGAACACATCTCGTGTTTCAACCATCGAGCACATCTTGTGTTTCAACCATCGAACACATCTCGTGTTTCAACCATCGAACACATCTTGTGTTTCAACCATCGAACACATCTTGTGTTTCAACCATCGAACACATCTCGTGTTTCAACCATCGAACACATCTCGTGTTTCAACCATCGAGCACATCTGTGTTTCAACCATCGAACACATCTCGTGTTTCAACCATCGAACACATCTTGTGTTTCAACCATCGAACACATCTCGTGTTTCAACCATCGAACACATCTCGTGTTTCAACCATCGAACACATCTCGTGTTTCAACCATCGAGCACATCTCGTGTTTCAACCATCGAACACATCTTGTGTTTCAACCATCGAACACATCTCGTGTTTCAAAAACAGAACATCATCTCTGTTTCAACTCAAATTCACATCTTGTGTTTCAACCATCGAACACATCCGTGTTCACCAACCATCAGAACACATCGCGTGTTCGTTTTATTTCAAATTCTTAATTTGCTCATTCTTTAAGAAAAAACAATATGCAATATAATTATAAACAAAATCAATTTTAAATTCTTTGTTTTAAGAATAAGACAAGAATTCGTTCTGATTTTTAACCGCGGAGGTTACCACCCAGGATAACCAAGAAAGTCAGTGCTCATTTGGAGGAACTGTCAAACTTATTATCATTTTCGGTCTTAATCTTGTCCCCCAGGTATGCGAATACCAGTCAACTTTAAACTCAGGTACTCTATGCACCTGCTGTTAGGTAAAAGCAACAGGTGTTTAGAATCGCGTCTAATGTTCTTACCTCGGGAATCGTAACCCTGGCCCCTTGTGTGAGCGATAGATTACCAGCCATGGACTGGGCCATCATTGAAATATTTGAAAATTTTCATTCATTGCTAAGGCTTGCAACAAAGTTTACAAAATTCTGTTGTGGAAGTCGCTAAACCTGAAAGGGTTCTACAACGCCTAGAAATGAAGGAAATCAGGTTTGATTCGAGTGAAGGAGAGGGTAGCTTCAATGTACAACACTCGTATAACTTAATAATTTGGTTAAGTTGATTCCTTCTCTTATCCTCTGTTAAAAATATCATAGATCAATTGAAGAGTCATGTAATGTCTACATATTTGCAAGACTTTAGTTTGCAACGTAAATCTAGCAGTGTATCTGTCTGGAGAAGGCTTTGGGTCAACACCCCTGCGGCCCTGTCTGTGACCAGGCCTCATGGTGGATCAGGGCAAGATAAGATAAGATAAGATTTCGTTCGGATTTTTAACCCCGGAGGGTTAGCCACCCAGGATAACCCAAGAAAGTCAGTGCGTCATCGAGGACTGTCTAACTTATTTCCATTGGGGTCCTTAATCTTGTCCCCCAGGATGCGACCCACACCAGTCGACTAACACCCAGGTACCTATTTGCTGCTAGGTGAACAGGACAACAGGTGTAAGGAAACGTGTCGAATGTTTCCACCCGCCGGGAATCGAACCCGGGCCCTCCGTATGTGAAGCGGGAGCTTCACATGATCAAACAGGCTGTTACTGCTGGCTGCAAACAAATTGACAAACGAACCACAGCCTGGCTGGTCAGGTACTGACTTCAGGTGCTTGTCTAGTGCCTACTGGAAGACAGTCAGGGGTCTTGATGACAGTTAAGGGGTCTTGAAAACAGTAGTCTTGAAGACAGTCAGGGGTATTGAAGACAATAAGGGGTCTTGAAGATATACAGGGGTCTTGAAGGCATTTAGGGGTCTTGAAGACAGGAGTCTTGAAGAGTCAGGGGTCTTGAAGACAGTCAGGGGTCTTGAAAAAAATCAGGGGTCATGAAGACAAGAGTCTTGAACACAGTCAAAAGCTATTGAAGACAGGCGTCTTGAAAACAGTCAGGGGTCTTGAAAACAACCTTGACTGTCATCAAGACCCCTGGTTGTCTTGAAGACAGCCAAAGGTCTTGCAGACGGTTAGGGGTCTTCAAGACAGCCAGGGGTCTTGAAGACAGTCATGGGTCTAGACGACAGTCAAGGGTCTTGAACACAGCCAGGGGTCTTGAAGACTCAGGGATCTTGAAGACAGTCAGGGGTCTTGAAGACAGTCAGTTGTCTTGAAGACAGGAAGGGGTCTTGAAGACAGTTCTCATGAAGACAGTCATGGGTCTTGAAGTCAGAGGTCTTGAAGACAGTCAAGTGATCTTGAAGATAGGGGTCTTGAAGACGGGGGTCTTGAAAACAGGGTCTTGAAGACAGGGATCTCGAAGATAGCCAGGGGTTTTGAAGACTGCCAGAGATCTTGAAGACAGGGATTTTGAAGATAGTCAAGGGTCTTGAAGACAGTCAGGGGTCTTGAAGACAGTCAGTTGTCTTGAACACAGGAAGGGGTCTTGAAGACAGTTCTCTTGACGAGAGTTGTTTTGAAGACAGTCATGGGTCTTGAAGACAGGCAGGGGTCTTGAAGACAGTCAGGGGTCTTGAAGACAGTCAGGGGTCTTGAAGGCAGTGAAGTGGTCTTGAAGACAGGGGTCTTGAAAACAGGGGTCTTGAAGACAGAGGTCTTGAAGACTGGGGTCTTGAAGACAGTCAGGGGTCTTGAAGACAGGCAGGGGTCTTGAAGACAGTCAGGGGTCTTGAAGGCAGTGAAGTGGTCTTGAAGACAGGGGTCTTGAAGACAGGGGTCTTGAAGACAGAGGTCTTGAAGACTGGGGTCTTGAAGACAGTCAGGGGTCTTGACAGTTGTCTTGAAGACAGTCAGGGGCCTTGAAGACAGGCAGAGATCTTGAAGACAGTGAAGAGATCTTGAAGAGAGTTAAGTGTTCTTGAAGGCAGGGGTCTTGAAGACAGACAGGGGTCTTGAAGATAGTCAGGGGTCTTGAAGACTGCCAGGGTCTTGAAATTAGTCAGGGGTCTTGAAGATTGTCAGGAGTCTTGAAGACAGGAGTTTTAAAGACAGAGGTCTTGAAGACAGTCAGAGGTCTTGAAGACTGCCAGGGGTTTATAAGACAGTCTGGGGTCTTGAAGACAGCCAGGGGCCTTGAAGACAGTCAGGAGTCTTGCAGACGGTCAAGGGTCTTGAAGACAGTCAGGGGTCTTGAAGACAGTCAGGGGTCTTGAAGACAGTCAGGGGTCTTGAAGACAGTCAGAGGTCTTGAAGACAGTCAGGGGTCTTAAAAACAGGTCTTGAAGATAGCCAGGGGTCTTGAAGACAGTCAAGGGTCTTGAAGACAGCCAGGGGTCTTGAAGACAGTGAGGGGTCTTGAAAGCAGTCAGAGGTCTTGAAGACAGTCAGGTGTCTTAAAACAGGGGTCTTAAAGATAGCCAGGAGTCTTGAAGACAGTCAGGGGTCTTGAAGACAGTCAGAGGTCTTGAAGATAGTCAGGGGTCTTTAACACAGGCAGGGGTCTTGAAGACAGTCATGGGTCTTAAAGATAGGGGTCTTGAATACTGTCAGGGGTCTTGAAGACAATCAGGGGTCTTGAAGACAGTCAGGGATCTTGAAGACTGTCAGGGGTCTTGAAGACAGTCAGGGGACTTGAAGACAGCCAGGGTCTTTAACAGTCAGGGGTCTTTAATATAGTCAGGGGTCTTGAAGACTGTCAAGAGTCTTGAAGACAGTCAGAGGTCTTGAAGATAGGCGTCTTGAAGACTGTCAGTGGTCTTAAAGACAGTTTGGGATCTTGAAGAGTCAGGGTTCTTGAAGACACAGGTCTTGAAGACAGTTAAACGTCTTGAAGATAGTCAGGGGTCTTGAAGACAGTGGTCTTAAAGATAGTCAGGGGCCTTGAAGACAGTCACGGGTCTCGAAGACAGTCAGAGGTTTTGAAGATAATCAGGGGTCTTTAACACAGTCACGGGTCAAGTGTCAGGGGCCCGAGACTGTTCAACTGCCTCCAAGCACACATAAGGGGGATTACCAACAGACCCCTGGCAGTCTTCAAGCTGGCACTGGACAAGCACCTAAAGTCAGTTCCGGATCAGCCGGGCTGTGGCTCGTACGTTGGTTTGCGTGCAGCCAGCAGCAACAGCCTGGTTGATCAGGCTCTGATCCACCAGGAGGCCTGGTCACAGACCGGGCCTCGGGGGCGTTGACCCCCGGAACTCTCTCCAGGTATATATGTATACATATATATATATATATAATATAATATATATATATATATATATATATATATATATATATATATATATATATATATATATATATATATATATATATATATTTTATATATATGTGTGTGTGGTGCCGAATAGGCAGAACTTGCGACCTTGGCTTAAATAGCAAGGTTCATCTTGCCATATAGGACAAGTGAAAATTTGTGTATGCAATAATTTCGCCAAAATCATTCTGAACCTAACGA